TGGCAAGGTGGTCGCGTACCTCAAGCTGGAGGAACGCCGGATGCGGGCGGCCAAGACGCGCGCGACCCACACCGCCCTTGTTGCCGGAACCCGTGGGGGTTCGGCCCCGCCATCGCCCCGCCCAACGCCGCCCCAGCCGGCGGCACCCGCCTTCCCGCCCGGCTTCCCGCCCGCCCCACCCGCCCCCTTCCCGCCGCCCCAGCCGGCGGCCAATGGGAGAGGCCGTCGCGGCGGCCGCCGGGGTGGCCGCAAGCAAGGAGGCGGTGGTGGCGGCGGTGCTCAGGGAGGAGCACCTCGCCAGCAGCAGCCGGCCCCTCAGCCGGCGGCCCCGTGGTACGCCGGCCAGAACCCGTGGACCGGCATCGTCCACGCCTACTCCTTGCCGGTTCCACGGGCTCCTTCTCCGGGTCTTCTCGGCACCCGGCCTCCGTCACACCAGGCGTCCTACGCCGCGCCGCAGCCCTATGCGGCGCCCTACGGGCAGCAGCCGCCGCCAGGCGGGCCGCCGCTGCTGCCCCTGACGTCTGCGCCGTTCCTCCCGCCGGCGCCGTGGGACCCGGCTCTCCTGGCGGCTCTCCACACCGCCCCTTCCCCGTCCAGCTACACCGGCGGCGGCGATTGGTACATGGACAGTGGCGCCACCGCTCATATGGCGGCGTACCCCAGTAACCTCCACACTGCCCACCCTGTCCACACCTCCAACCGCATCACCGTCGGTGACGATTCTTCTCTTCCTATCACCCATATTGGACATACATATTTTCCGTCTAACTCCACTCCTATATCCATGTCTATTATTCTTGTTTCTCCTGATCTTATAAAAAATCTTGTTTCCGTTCGTTCTCTTACACGTGAAAATCCGGTCACTGTTGAATTTGACGAATGTGGTTTTTCTGTTAAGGACGCTCGCACGCGGATGGTGCTCCACCGATGTGACAGCCCCGACGAGCTCTACCCGATTCACTCCGCCGCCTCCACCACTTCCGCCGCCCCTGTCGGTCTCGCCACCGGAGTGGATCTCTGGCTCGCTCGCTTGGGTCATCCTAATCCTGCCACACTTCGCCACATACTTCGGAGTTTTTCTTTCACGTGTAATAAGAACGAGGATCACTCGTGTCATGCATGCCGCCTCGGCAAACATGCCCGTCTTCCGTTTAGGGCTTCTTCCTTTGTTGCATCGTACCCGTTTGAGTTGATTCATAGTGATGTTTGGACATCTCTTGTTGCAAGTAATACGGGCTTTCTTTATTACCTTGTCATTCTTGACGATTTTTCGCATTATGTGTGGACCTTCCCGTTGCGCCGCAAGTCGAACGTTATCTCCACCCTTGCCGGCTTCTACTCTTACGTTCGCACGCAGTTTGGTCGACCCATTCTCGCGTTGCAGACCGACAACGGGAAGGAGTTTGACAACACCGTTGTTCGCAATCTTCTCACCACACATGGCACGATTTTTCGTCTCACTTGCCCGTACACCTCACAGCAGAACGGTCGTGCTGAGCGCATCCTTCGCACTCTTAATGACTGCGTTAGGACTCTTCTCTTTCACGCCAATGTGCCCCCGTGCTTTTGGCCTGACGCTCTAGCCACCGCTTCTCTCCTCATCAACATCCGTCCATGTCGTACTCGCGGGAACTTTACACCTCACCACCTTCTCTTCGGTGCACCCCCCTCTTATGAAGGGCTTCGCATTTTCGGCTGCCTGTGCTATCCTAGCATCGCTGCCACTGCGCCTCATAAGCTCGCACCCCGCTCCGTCGCATGCATCTTTCTCGGCTACCCACCTAACACTAAGGGCTACCGCTGCTACGATCCAGTCTCTCACCGTGTTTTCACCTCCAGACACGTTTACTTTGATGAGATGGTCTTCCCGTTTCAGCAGCAGGCACCCCTTGTCATCTCGTCGCCGCCGGCCACCAGCGGCCCATCGACGACCTCGTCAGGTGGACGAGCACGCCTGGTTCGTGGACCGCCTCCGGGCTTTGGCGGTCCCCGAGCCCTACTGCTGGCGCCCTCCCCGGCCGGCTCTGACGGTGCGGCCGGCGCCCCGCCTTCACCCGCCGCCCCCGACTCGGGCGCCGCAGGGTCGGGCAACTCCTCCGCCGCAGGGACGGCCTCGCCGCCGGCCGCCTCGTCACCTGTGGACTCGGCCGCCGCCTCTGCCGCCTCGACGCCGGCCACCTCGCCGGTTGCCTCGTCGGCCCCGCCGCCAGCCGCCTCGCCGGCTATGTCACCGGCCGCGACGCCGGCCCCCTCGCCGGCCGGGTCACCCGCCGGCTCGCAGGTCGCGACGCCCGCCGCCTCGCCGGATGCCTCGCCGGCCGTCTCGCCGGCCGCCTCGCCGGCCCCGGTGGCCCCGTCCGGCCCCGTCACCCATGCTCGGGCCGGCATTCACTGCCCGAGTCTTCGGTACTCACGTGACGAGTACGTCCTCGCCGCCTCTGCCGTGGAGCCGTCACCCATTCCTGCGTCCGCCCGTGCCGCCCTTCGTGATCCTCACTGGCTTGCGGCGATGCAGGAAGAGTTCGACGCTCTCCAACGGAACCGCACCTGGACCCTGGTTCCCCGGCCTCCTCGCGCCAACGTCATCACCGGCAAGTGGGTCTTTCGCCATAAGACCCGCTCAGACGGTTCACTTGAGCGCTACAAGGCTCGCTGGGTGGTCCGCGGTTTCCGCCAACGCGCTGGATTTGATTTCACGGAGACGTTCGCCCCGGTTGTCAAACCGGGCACGATCCGCACTGTCCTCCAGCTCGCCGTCCCTCGCGGCTGGCCTGTTCACCAGATGGATGTCTCCAACGCCTTTCTCCACGGCCATCTTGAGGAGCAGGTGTTTTGTGAGCAACCCACAGGCTTCGTCGACGCTTCATTTCTCGGGCATGTGTGCCTGCTGTCGCGCTCTCTTTATGGGCTCAAGCAGGCACCCCGTGCCTGGTACCAGCGGATCGCCGGGTTTCTTCAGACACTGGGCTTCAGCGTCACTCGCTCGGACGCCTCACTGTTTGTCTATCGCCACGGTGACACGACTGCATATTTGCTGCTTTACGTCGACGACATCATCCTGACAGCCTCCTCCGCAGCCGTTCTTCAGCAGATTACTCTCCGGCTGCGTGACGAGTTTGCTATCAAGGACCTGGGTGCTGTACATTATTTCCTTGGCATTGAGGTCGTTCGGCGTCCGGACAGTTTCTTTCTTCATCAACAGAAGTATGCCCATGAGCTTCTTGAGCGCGCTGGCATGCTCAACTGCCATCCTGTTGCTACTCCTGTTGACACGAAGGCCAAGGTTTCTGCTCTTGAGGGTTCGCCTGCATCGGATGCTCCATTCTACCGGTCTATTGTCGGCGCTCTACAGTACTTGACACTCACCCGACCGGATCTTCAGTATGCTGTCCAGCAGGTGTGTCTCCACATGCACGCCCCTCGTGACTCTCACTGGACTCTCGTGAAGTGGATCCTTCGCTACATCCGCGGCACGATGTCCCTTGGGTTGACACTCACGGCGTCCACTTCTCTGGAGATGGTGGCTTACTCCGATGCAGACTGGGCCGGCTGCCCGGATACTCGTCGGTCCACCTCTGGCTAGTGCGTCTACCTCGGTCCTTCCCTCGTCTCGTGGTCGTCCAAGAGACAACCCACGGTTTCGCGCTCTAGCGCGGAGGCTGAGTACCGAGCTGTGGCCAACGCTGTCGCCGAGTGCACCTGGCTTCGACAGTTACTTCAGGAGCTACATCATGATGTCGCCCAGGCTACGGTTGTCTACTGCGACAACGTCTCTGCGGTGTACCTCTCCGCCAACCCCGTTCATCATCGCCGGACTAAACACATTGAGCTGGACATTCACTTTGTGCGCGAGCAGGTGGCTCTTGGACGCATGCGGGTTCTCCATGTGCCGACCGCTCAGCAGTTCGCTGATGTGATGACGAAGGGACTGCCGACTTCCACCTTTGAGGAGTTCCGTTCCAGTCTCTGCGTCACTGGCGCTGCTT